GTAGGATTTATTCCAGGGACACAAGGATGGTTCAACATCTGAAAATCAATGTAATCCAACACATCAACAAAAGGGAATATAAAAACCACATAATAATATCAATAGATGCTGAAAAAGCTTTCAACAACATACAATACCCATTTATGATAAAGGCCCTTGAAATTCTTGGGATACAAGAAACATGCCTCAACATCATAAAGGCCATATATGACAAGACCATAGCCAATATCATTCTCAATGGTGAAAAGTTAAAGGCATTTCCATTAAGATCTGGAACAAGGATGTCCACTCTCACCACTGCTTTTCAATATAATACTGGAAGTCATAGCCAGAGCAGTAAGACAAGAGAAAGACATCCAAGTAATACAACTAGGGAAGGAAGAAGCCAAACTATCACTATTCGCAGATGATATAATAATATACATAGAGAACCCCAAAAACTCCACAGAAAAACTAATCAAACTAATCAATCAGTTTAGTAAAGTAGCAGGATACAAAATCAACACGTAAAAGTCAGTAGCCTTCCTATACACAAACAGTAAATCTGAAGAAGAAGAAAGCAAGGAACCATCCCTTTTATTATTGAAACAAAAATATCAAATACTTGGGAATAAACCTAACAAAAGAGGTAAAGGACCTATACAAAGAAAACTATACAACACTGTTAAAAGAAATAGAAGAAGACACAGAGAAATGGAAAGACATCCCCTGCTAATGGATTGGAAGAATTAACATTATCAAAATGGCCATCCTACCAAAAGCAATTTACAGATTCACTACTATTCCAATAAAAATTTCAATGACATTCTTCAAAGAAATAGAACAAATATTGATGAAATTCATATGGAGCCACCAAAAACCCTGAATAGCCAAAGCTCTCCAGAAAAAAAAAAAGAAGGGAATGGAGGCATCACACTCTCAGACTTCAAACTATACTACAAAGCCATGATAATCAAAACTGCATGGTATTGGAACAAGAACAGACACACGGACCAATGGAACCAAATAGAATATCCAGAAATAAACCCACAGATTTATGGTCAACTAATCTTTGACAAAGGAGCAAAGAATATGCAATGGTGGGCCTCCCCGGTGGCGCAGCCGTTGAGCTCTGGGTTGCGAAGCTGCCCACAGCCTCTGCAGCGCCGATTCGATCCCCGGCTGCTCCCCGGCCACTGGAGGAGGGTCCCACATGGCGCACAGACCTCTCCTGCCGCCCGCTGCTCCTCTCAGCAGTGTACTTCGGTCCTTCTGCCTGTTCTGCTCCCCGCTCTGGCTCGGTGAATTCTCTCACCCTCCCGTGCTTCTGACTGTACCCAGTGCTTGTATAAATAAATAAATACATCTTTAAAAAAAAAAAAGAATATGCAATGGAGTAAAAAAAGTTTGTTCAATAAATGGTGCTGGGAAAACTGGGTTGCTACATGCAAAAGAATGAAGCTTGACCACTACCTCACACCATACACAAAAATCAACTCAAAATGGATTAAAGAACTAGACATAAGACCTGAAACCATAAAATATATAGAAGGAAATATAGGCAAAACACTACGTGATTTGCACATCAAAGACATCTTTACAGACACATCACCCAAAGCAGTGATAGTGAAGGCAAAGATAAACAGCTGGGACTACATCAAATTAAAGAGCTTCTGCACAGCAAAAGAGACAATAACAAGGGCCTCCCCAGTGGCGCAGTGGTTGAGTGCTGGGTTGCGAAGCTGCCCGCGGCCTCTGCGGCACCAGTTCGATCCCCGGCTGCTCCCCGGCCACCGGAGGAGGGTCCCACATGGCGCGCAGACCTCTCCTGCTGCCCGCTGCTCCCCTCAGCAGTGTACTTCGGTCCTTCTGCCTGCTCTGCCTCCCGCTCTGGCTCTGGTGAATTCTCTCACCCTCCCGCGCTTCTGACTGTACCCAGTGCATGTATAAACAAACAAAACAAACAAAAACAAATAAATAAATAAATAAAAACATGCCTCTATAAAAAAAAAAAAAGAGAGACAATAACAAAAACAAAGAGAAACCCCACCAACTGGGAGAATATTTTTGCACACAACACTAATGATAAAGGACTGATCACAAAAATCTACAAAGAGCTGATGAGACTCAACAACAACAACAAAGAAAATTATCCAGTCAAAAAATGGGCAGAAGAGCTAAAAAGAAACTTCTCTGAAGAAGAAATGCAAATGGCCAACAGGCATATGAAAAAATGTTCAACATCACTTGTAATCAGGGAAATGCAAATCAAAACTACCATGAGATACCATCTTACACCAGTGAGAATGGCACATATTAAAAAAACTAGCAACAACAAATGTTGGCGAGGTTGTGGAGAAAAAGGAACTCTCCTGCACTGCTGGTGGGAGTGCAAACTGGTCCAACCACTATGGAGAGCTGTGTGGAGATTTCTGGACCTACTAAACATAGAGCTTCCATAGGATCCAGCAATTCCACTCCTAGGTATTTACCCAAAGGACACAGAAACATCAATTCCAAAGAGCACCTGCACCCCTATGTTAATAGCAGCACTGTTTACAATAGCTAAGCTTTGGAAACAACCCAAATGCCCAAAAATAGATGACTGGATCAAGAAGATGTGGTACATATACACAATGGAATATTACTCAGCAATCAGAAAAGATAAACTCATGCAATTTGCAGAAGCATGGATGAAGCTGGAAGTAATCATGCTTAGTGAAATAAGCCAGAAAGAAAAAGAAAAATACCGGATGGTCTCACTCATAGCAGGACTTTAGAAAACCTAAATAAGGGATCAGGAAAAAGACTAATTATAATAAAGTAAAAATCAAAATCAACAAACAATTATAAAACAGAGACACACTACAGAGGTGGGGAGAGAGTAGGAGCAAAACAAGGAGGGTGGGAATTGTGTGGGGACTGTAACCAAATTGAAAATGCATACATTGTGCACAAATGTAAAAGATGTAAAAAATATATAAAATTTAAAAAAAAATCGCCTGTGGGTGAGGCCCTGCTCATTGTTGAGTGAGGGTGAGGAGCTAAGGAACCTATCCTTGGGGGACAGGTGGGGAACATGGCTTGTGGTGGAGCCCACAGCCAAAGAGAGGACCCAAGAGAGGCCTCATGTGGAGCTTATATCCACAGATCCCTGACCCATGTGCTTATGCAATGGGTTGGCCTGAGTGCAGGGGTCTGCGTGTCACATCGGTGGCTATGAAACAATCCGAGTGTTGGAGTGACCACAGACAGAAACTCTGAGGGTTGGGTGATTATCCCAAAGAGTACAGAATCGCCAATCCCAGAGTGAGTGCATCCTGGGGGTGGATGCGGCGTGTGGCTTGTGGCCGAGACCACAGCCAGAGAAGGCCAGGAAGCCTGACAGCCCCTGGTGTGTTACAGCAGGTGCCTGAGTTGGTCCCCTCCCTTGAATGAGCAATGCCTTAAGCAGCAGAAGTGGTGGCTCATCTGCTGGGGCCAATAATAGTCTTTTGCCACTAGGTTGGTGCCCTGCTTGGACTTACTTGTGTTTTTTGTATTGTCTTTTTGTTTCTGTGGGCCATGGCTGCATTGTTTATGTTTGCTAAGGGAAAATTGTATAGAACTCATATGTAGACTGTATAGCAGAAAACCCTGAGGGGATGGATTGTAGGGTAAATGATTTTCAGGCTTTTCTGCCCTCCCACCATTAGGATTGCCCTGCCTGATGGGTCACCTGCATTTTGTTATGTTGTCATAGTTGTGTTGTTTACTTCTGTGTGCCATGCCAGCAGTATTGAGATATTCAACAAGAGAAATAGAGGCAGGAGAGAGAAGGGGAGAAAGAACGCCAGAGAGAAGCCCAGAGTGAAGACTTGCCAGGGGCTTAGAGGCCTGCCTGCCATGTACCTGATTTCTGCACGACATGTAAGAGCTCAATAAAAGCCTGAGATGGCCTCCCTGGTGGCGCAAGGGGTTAAGCACCGCACTATGAAGCAATCCGCAGCCTCTGCAGCATGAGTTCGATCCCCAGACGGCCAGGGACCAACCCACATGGCGAAGCTGACCTCTCCTGTCTCGCCCGCTGCTCCCCTCAGCAGTGTGTTTCATCAGTCTGCCTGTTCTGTTCCCCGCTCTGTCTCTGGTGAATCCTCTCACTGACCCCCTGCATCTCTGGCCTACCCCAGCTCTTGTATGCATAAATAAATAAATCTTTAAAAAAAAATAAAATAAAAGCCCGAGAAAGCCACCGAGGGCTCCAGGACTCTCCTTTACCCCGTCTGCTCGGATCATAGAAAGCCTGCTCATGTGCTCTCTTCGGCAGCACATATACATAGAAAGCCTGCTCTGTGGTCATCCTGCCACTACACCCACCAAACCAAAACTTTTTGAGTGGAGTTGATATTTGTTGAACTGGGGGAGAAAATGAGAGAAGCAGGTTTTGAGGGGGAAATCATGTTGCTTGGGGGCATGTTGGTTTTGAGAAGCCAGCGAGATACTGGAAATGTGAAGCAGGAAATCAGAAGTGTTTCAAGTTCAGAGAACAGGTTCTGCCTGGACTGATAAATATGTCATCAACACAGGCATGGTATTTTAAACTGTGAGATGACAGGATGAGAAGAGATGAAATAGAAATCAGGTTTGAGGATTCATCGTTGAGTCACAGGGAGACCAGGATTCAGAAAGGAGGCTGAGAAGCAGTGGTTTGGGGGCAGCAGCAGCCCTGGAGAGTGTGTTGTCCTAGAAGTGTTCTAACAAGGGGAGAGGGAATGGACAGCTGCCGTAGGGGCTGATAGTGGGTCAATAAGATGGCCGCGGGGTTAGAAATAACAGCTAGCCACTCCTAGGATGTAGATGAAAACCAACACACATATGCATAGCACCATGCTAATTTATAAACTCATATATAATTATAATTTATGAATCAATAAATCAAACAATGTGACTGGCATTACTGGGTGCCTGTTACTGGTTGTGGGGGTAACAGTGTAGCCATGTTTTGATTTGCAACCTGGTCTTTCCATTATTCTGGCAGTATCGGGCCATCTCAGACTTTAGAGAACTGGAGCATTCCCTTCAGCGGGAGTTAGAGAAAAGCTTTTCCTACCTGGGCAACACCAATCCCGGTAAGTCCCCTCTTCTAGGAGCTGGTGAGAGGGGAGGGAAGCTTCAGAGCTAATGGACTACCAAGTGAGGTAGAATGGGGGGCCTTAGAGTGACCATGTGACAATGCTTGCCTGGGTCCTTAGTATCTGATCTGAGTCCTTAATACCTGGCATCTACCTGCACTTAGTATCCACTCCTCTCTTTCTCATTTTTTCCCTTCCCCCTGACCTCAAAGCTGTCAGCTTTCATACCTGGGAGCCCTGCCCCTCACATCTTTATTTGATCCGACTTCTCCCCAACCCTAGACAGCCTCAGTGTTCCCATTAGGGAAGAGAAGGTCAATAGCTTAAAGGAAATCCATGGCAACTGAAAACAATTATCATCCTGATACAGATGAAGATTAAGACAATCTCTCCTGTGGCAGTACACATCTAATTCCCATCCAGACAGCTCTTGCCTTGACTCAGAACTAAGAGGGGAGATGATGAGAAGGGAAACTGACCCTTAGCCTAGACCATCCTCTTCCACCAGAGCTGTTTCCTAGAGTCTCCTGTAATCAAATAATTGTTTGATTACATGATTTCTTTTTTTTTAGAAGATTTATTTTTATTTATTTATTTATACAAGCACTGGGTACAGTCAGAAGCGCGGGAGGGTGAGAGAATTCCCCAGAGCCAGAGCAGGGAGCAGAGCAGGCAGAAGGACCGGAGTACACTGCTGAGGGGAGCAGCGGGCGGCAGGAGAGGTCTGCGGGCCATGTGGGACCCTCCTCCGGTGGCCGGGGAGCAGCCGGGGATCGGGGATCGAACGGGCGCTGCAGAGGCTTCGGGCCTCGCAACCCAGCGCTCAACCGCTGCGCCACCGGGGAGGCCCCTGATTACATGATTTCTAATCAAGAAGTTTTGTCCTTAAGGTTTTACCCATGAATCTACTGCAAGACGGTGAAACATATTATGTGAGGTCAAAGTTTAGCAAGAATCATCAATCCAAACTGGTCTATCCATTAAATGCAACATGCTCTGGCAACAAAGTCCAGATGGACTTCTCAATACATTAGGTGAGAAACAGACTATTTACTCTGTTACCATTTGTGTAAAAGAAAAGACTTGAAAATACAAAAATCGTTTGAGTTTTAAACAGAATGGTAAAGAGTTTGAAGGGAAACATTTTCCTTCTATAGACCCTTTTGCGATTTTTAGAATATATATGTCATTTATTTTAAAAGAAAAAGAAGCACCGAGAAAACCAATATTACCTAATTATCTAATTATGGGTTTCTAAGAAGGATTTATAGATGGGAGTTGAAGAAGGGATTGCTTTAGAAGGACGCGTTTATCTCCTATGAAGTTTCGCTGGAGGGATTAGGGATAAGGGGAGAGGAAAGGGTGTCAACAGACACCCAGAGACAATTGCACTTGAAAGAACTTGTGAAGTACTTAAGTTGGCTGACACTTAGCAGATTACACCCTAGCTGTGATAGCATTATGAGATGTGAAAATGGGCTTGTTTAGAAAGCCCAGGGCAGTTTACTTCAGGTTCTGGAAATTGTCCAAGGAGTCTTCTCTCCAGACTCAAAGGTTTTATCAACTCCAAGCACATCTTCAACAATGGCTGTTTGTTTGTCTTTTCCTGGTGGGATGTGGGAAAGCATAAAAGTTCAACATCCATGCCATGGGGAGGAGGGAATAGGAGGCTGAGGATCCTGGGCCCAGCAACACCTCATCTCCAGTATTTCCCATTTTGGTGGGGAGTGTGGAATAGAGCAAACTTGCTTTATTCTCAGAGAAAGGTCTTGGGACTGACCCACAGCCTAAGGTCAGGCTGAATTTGAATTTAGTCCTAAGATTTAGGATGTAATTCATACTCTGGGAAACAGACTCCCTCTAGTTGTTGCTTTCTGGTTGTTCATTTTAGAACCACATCAAAACCAAAATGGTCACTGACTTAAATCGAGTTATGAATGGAGAAAGAGGTAAGGCAAAAAGGAGCGCAAGATATTCATTAAAGAGAAACCACTGATCACACTTCTTGCAGAGAGAATAAAGATAGTTTCTGATTCAACAGTTAATGCAGAGTCCCCCTACCCCAGGATCCTCCACCTCATCTCCCTATTTTATCTTCATACCAATCTTGCAGTTGTCACTAGGAAAACTTTTGAAGAGTAACATCAAATTTTAGACCATCAGCTTGCCCCGACTTCACCTTTTTACTAATTGATGGTATCTCCCACTTCCTCTTCAAACTCTGGAGCCTCTTCATCTCTCATGAGTCATTCTCCAGCACCTTTATTATGTGACTTAGTTACCAAAGTGTAAATAAACATTCTTACAAATTTGTTTACCCAGTAATATTTATTTTATAGGGCTGTCTATGCACAAACAGGTGTGTTAGATAACGTAAATAAAAACTTCAAAGTATTATCTTTCCCTCCATAAACAGGAGTCAAAGCCTTTTGGAAAACAATCACTGAAGGTAGAATTTTGGACGGCAAACAATGGATGAGAAAAAACTCAATTTCCTTGAGATTATATAATCTTCTATTGTGCATGTCTGGAAAGAAGGCCCAGATACTACAACTTGATGTGTCCATTACATGATCCTGTGGGAGAGTTGCCCAAGGTAAAGACCTCCTCCTTAACATAAAATCAATTAGCTGTTCAGTTTATAAATACTAATATTCACTATTATGTTCTTGATTTCCCCCAAGTGTAAGAAAGAAGCACATGACTTTTAGGTCATATTCTATCTCTGCCACTGATTACTAAGAGGCTGAGCTATATCCCTTTAATAAATTATTTAATGCAATCTCTATTAGATAGGTTATTACCTCTTCCATTTTGCAGATAAGGAAACTGAGGCTCAGAGAGACAATAACTTATTTAAGTTTCCTGAAAAACATGTGTAGGGTAAATGGTTTTCAGGCTTTTCTGCCCTCCCACCATTAGGATTGCCCTACCCCATGGGGCACCTGCAGCTGTTACATTGTTGTAAGCTGTGTTGTTTACATCTGTGGGCCATGACAGCAGTATTGAGATAGTCACCAAGAGAAGCAGGGGCAGGAAAGAGAAGTGGAGAGAGGAGAAAGAATGCCAGAGAAGCCCAGAGTGAAGACTTGCTGGGGGCCTGGAGGCCTGGCCACCTGCCTGTCTCCTGGCCCCCAGGCACCCCTGCCTGCCATGTCCCTTGTTGCTGCACTACATGTAAAAGCTCAATAAAAGCCTGAGAAAGCCACGGAGGTCTCCAGGACTCTCCTTTACCCGGTCTGCTGAATCATAAAGAACCTGCCCTGTGCCCATCCTGCCCCTACAACATGGAATCTAAGTCAAGGCCAGAGGTTAATCCTCTTTGGAGTAGGGGGGAAGAGACTCAAGGCAGGGTGGGCTAAGGAGTAATGTAGGTGATATGTTCCAAACTGGCTGCCACTGTACTGTGAGCCAAGGGGCATCTCAGTTGGCCTTGGGGCAGGAGCAGCTGTGTGGCCTGTGGACTATCTCCACATAGACTGTGTGGGAAAAAAAACAGTGCAAAAATGGTCTAGTGGAAAAAAAAAACCAAGAGGGTTTGTTGTCAGCTCTCCCCTATCTTGCTCCTGCTGGCTGGTGTTTGCTCCCAGGGAGTCAATCCCACATTTCTGGGGCATGTCTATTTGACATGCCCTGTGGTTGGCACCTCATCTGAATCTAAAATGGTGGAAGAAGCCATAACTCCATGTATGTAGCAGGGGGCAGGCCTGTGTGGGTCACACGTGATAGCTAAGACAAAACAAGTGTCTGAAAAGCCAGGGTCTGCTTGGACCAGACATTCTGTCTAGGAATAATGAATGCCCATAGAAATGAATGATAATTTGTCTCTTGAGCAGGCACTTTTAAAAAAAAAGATTTATTTATTTATGCATATAAGAACTGGGATATAACCCAGAGATGCAAGGGCTGAGAGGATTTACCAGAGAAAGAGTGGGGAGCAGAAAAGGGGGATCTACTGAATACACTGCTGAGGGGAGCAGCGCGCGAGACAGGAGAGGTCTGCTGCGCCATGTGGGTTAGCTCCTGGGCTGGCTGGGAATTGAACTCCTGCTGCAGAGGCTGTGGATAGCTTCATAGTGCTGTGCTTAACCCCTTGTGCCACCAGGGAGGACCTGAGCAGTCACTTTTATTTTTAAATTTTATAAGTGTTTTATATTTATAAAAATATTCCAACTGTAGTATTAAAAGTTTCCATATGACCTGTACCCAGTCTCCCCTATTATTAATATTTAACATTAATATAGTACATTTGTCACAGCTGGTGAGTCAATACTGATACAATATTAAAGTGCATAGTATATTAAGATCTCCTTTGTTTTTACCTAATGCCCTTTCTTCTGGCCCAGGATACCACACTACATTTATTCATTTTTTTAAAAGATTTATTTATTTATACAAGAACTGGGGTACAAGCCAGAGGCACGGGAGGGTGAAAGAATTCACCAGAGACCGAGTGGGGAGCAGAATGGGCAGACAGACCAAAAACACTGCTGAAGGGAGCAGCAGGTGAGACAGGAGAGGTCTGCCGCGCCATGTGGGTATCTCCCTGGCCAGCAAGGAATTGAATCCACGCTGCAGAGGCTGCGGACAGCTTCACAGCACTGCACTCAACCCACTGTGCCACTGGGGAGGGTCCATTTACTTATTTATTATAAAATTGATATATTAGTTTCAGGTATACAAGCTATATAACCTATACAATTATGTTTGCATATATTGGGAAATGATAACCACAGCAATCTAGTTAACATCCCTTACCACACAGTTATAATTTTTTTCTTTCAATGAGAACTTTTAAGGTCTACTCTCTTAGCAACTTTCAAATATATAATGTAGTATTATTAACAATAGTTCCCATGCTGTACATTTTATCTCCAATATTTATAGTTGGAAGTTTGTACCTTTTGACCACCTCCACCTATTTCACTCACCTCCCTACGCCCCATGCCACATCTTTGGCAACCACCAATTCATTCTCTGTATCTACGAGTTTTGTTTTTATTTTCATATTCCACATATAAATGAGGTTGCATGGTATTTGTCTTTCTCTGATTTATTTTACTTAGCATAATGCTTTTAAGGTTTGTTTGTGTTGTCACAAATGGCAGGATTTTTCCTTTTTATGGTTGAATAATTTATATATTTTTTTTAATCTGTTCATCTATGGATGGACATCTAGGTTTGCTTCCATGTCTTGGTATCATAAACAATGGCTCAATGAACAATGGGATGCAGATATCTTTTTTTTTTGTTTTTTTTTAATAGAGGCATGGTTTATTTATTTATTTATTTGTTTGTTTGTTTTGTTTATACATGCACTGAGTACAGTCAGAAGCGCGGGAGGGTGAGAGAACCCACCAGAGCCAGAGTGTGGAGCAGAGCAGGCAGAAGGACCGAAGTACACTGCTGAGGGGAGCAGCGGGCGGCAGGAGAGGTCTGCGCGCCATGTGGGACCCTCCTCCAGTGGCCGGGGAGCAGCCGGGGATCGAACCGGCACCGCAGAGGCTGCGGGCAGCTTCGCAACCCAGCGCTCAACCGCTGCGCCACCGGGGAGGCCCATGGATGCAGATATCTTTTCAAGCTACTGTTTTCATTTCCTTTAAAGGAAAGCCTCCAAGTGTCTAGGGTAAATGATTTTCAGGCTTTTCTGATCTGCCATTAGGATTGCCGGCCTGATGAGGCACTGGGTTTTTGTTACATTGTTATAAGCTATGTGTTTTACTTCTGTGGGCCATGGGTATAGTATTGAGATATTCGCCAAGAGAAGCAGAGGCAGGAGAAAGAAGGAGAGGGGGAGAAAGAATGCCAGGGAGATGGTGTTATAGGACAGGGAGAGGGGCAGCCCAAACCCCACAAACCTGCCTATTCTACATGGGTTCTGCCATCCGCCGCATCAACACAAAACATAGGAGACTTTAATGGGAAGGAACTTTAATAAAACTAGGAAACAATACAGGTAAGGCAAAGAGTCTAGTTTCTAAATGAAGCACCCAAAGTTACCCGTCCCCTCGTGGGTAAAAGTCCATCCAAATGGGATTGGCCCAGAACAAGGCCCCAAAGCCTGCCACAAGTCTAAAGCATCTTCCAGTGGGGACCCACAGAAAAGGGTCACAAACAACCAGACAAGCCCGGAAGGAAAAGAGCAAAATCAACATCAAGATAAAAGCTGCCATGGTCACCTCTCCACGGGTCTCACCCACATCTGTGTCACCCAGTCCACAACCAAAAGACAAGCGCAATTTCTTCACGTGTCTCTAGGCTCCATGCGCCTCCTCCAGGTCTCCTGGCTCCATCCTGCTTCCTTCCTCAGTCTCTTCTCCAGCTTCTCCTCTTCTCTTCCTGCTCAGCTCCACCCTCCCTTGGGTGGGGCAGGGAACCTCCCCCTTTCCTGGGGACCACCCTGTTACAATGGGAGTGAAGACTTGCTGGTGGCCGAGAGGCCTGCCTGCCTCCTGGTCCCCCAGCACCCCGGCCTGCCATGTACCTGGTTGCTGCACTACATGTAAAAGCTCAATAAAAGCCTGAGAAAGCCAGCGAGGGCTCCAAGACTCTCCTTTACCTGCCTGTCTGCTGGGATCCTAGATATCCTGCTGTGTGCCCTTCCTGCTGCTACAAAGTGGAATTGCTGGAGACCACATTGCCTTTAGTTGTCTCCTTTGGCTTCTCTTGACCATGACAGTTTCTCAGACTTTCTTTGTATTGCATTTCCATGATGGTTTTAAGGAGTATTAGTCGTGTGTTCTGCAGTATTAACAGTGTGCAGACTGAGGGGCACCCTAGGATCCCAAAACTGAAGGCTCTAAAGGGGTTCTACTATCTACCACATACAGACAAAACATGCGCCTAGTGCAAAAGAACTTTGATAGGATTAGTGTGCATGGAGAGAGAAGAGAAAAAAGGGTAATAGTTTTCCAAAAAAAACACCCAAAGTAGCCCATCCCCTTGTGGGTAAACCCAGCCAAATATGGTTGGCCCAAAACAGGGCCACTGAGGCTTGGAAGATTGCCACAGTCAAAGCACCTTCCGGTGAAGAACTATAAAATAGGGGCAGAGGAGCCAAGCAAGTCTGGGATGAAAAGATCAATTTCAAAGTACAAGTCAAAATACATGTTGCCATCGTCAGCCTCCCCATGTCTCTCACCCATGTCTTTTCCAAGTGTCCCTACACATCTCTACTCCATGTATTTCCTTCCATGTTTCCCAAGTCTCTGGTGCAAGTTCATAGCTGAAAGCAAGCATGACTTCTCCACGTGCCTCTGCTCCGTGTGCCTCATCCAAGTCGCCGCTGCTTCTCTCTGGCCATGCTGCCCCACCCTCCCTTTTTACTGAGATCCCTTTCTGTAACAGTATGTCCATCTATGATTTATGTTTTTCTTCTGATTTGACTGGTTATGGGATTTTGAGAGAAAGATCACGGAGGTGGTAAAGTGCCATTCCTATCATATCTTGTCAAGGGAATATCCTGTTAACATGATTGATCACTGTGGATGTTAAAAGTGATAACCTGGTTGAGATGTTAAAAGTGATAACCTGGTTAAAAGTGATAACCTGTTTGGTTAAGTGATAACCTGGTTGTCAGATTTGTC